GGGGCCTGTATATTTAACTAGCCACCATATGTCTCATTCTATAAGAAGACTGAAGCACAGACAGGCTACTTGACAATCTACAACAACTCAGTGTTGTCAACCAATTAGTTAACAAAGCTAAAAGGGGGGACCCCCGCTCTACCTAGCACTTAAGTCAGTACTCTTCTATTATCATGCGTTGTTCAAGGCCACTGGGCTAGGCAGATTATCTTGGCCTTTTTCTTCTTCAACCACTGTTGCTTATGCTTGACAAAGCTGCTAACTTCCAATCTGGGTCTCAGAAGCCAGTCTCTTTCATACAGAAAGCAATGGCCTCTTTCTAGCCACAGCTGCATGTGTAATGAGTGTAAACAAACAGCATCTGGAGTCAGGCACACGCAGCTCTCCGTGCCACCTGGCCATGAAAGGCGGCAAGACCAGGCTCTCCTGTGGAGAAGTGAAGGCAAGGAGGGGGAAAAAAGGGGACAGAACGGCAAAGGTGTCACTATACCAAACAGGTACACAGGTAGACTGCAGCCAAAGGATCCTCATTTTGAGAACTGCTATGGATAGCAATGTTCAAAATTCACAACATTTCTGGGGCTGGGGATGCAGCTTAGGGGGAAAGTGCTAGCATGTACAAGGTCCCTAGTTTAATCCCACATGCCACAGAAAAGAATCCTGCGAGCAGAAGCAAAAGTCGAGTTCCATTTTAGGATGCATCAGTTGTAAGTGTAAGGAGGCCATACATGGTGGTGTCAGAATATGAAACTAAGTTGGGAATCTAGAGACAATCCAGCACTGCTTCCATTTAGCTGTGTCACTTCGCCCCAGGTAGACTTACGACGAATCCATTGGACATCAGCTCCGAGTCCTTAGGTGTCTTTGTCCCAAAACAAGAGACTGGACAGAGATGGGTGGATGCCAACAGAATGAAAGACTTGATTAAGAGAGAATGCACTTCTAAAAGAAGAAGGCAGCAGAGCTGGGAGCAAGATCAATGGCCTCCCCGCTATACAGACTGGAGTGGTTATAGGTAGCTCATCTGTTTATCTCAGGCCCTATTTTTGTACGCGCTGTTAAAATACTGAGCTTGGGGAAGGCTTGCAATCCTTCTCCCAGACAATGGAGTTCTTCATACACTGATTTTCACCTCACTGTCTGACCTACTCTGCTGCCACAGACACAACTTTGTTGAGTCTTTCACCTCTCTGAGTCTGTTTGCTCATCTAGAAAATGAGGGAGGATGCCAGGCGGTGGTGGTGCACACCTTTGACCTTCGCACTTGGGAGGAAGAGGCAGGCGGATCTCTGTGAGTTCGAGACCAGCCTGGCCTACAGAGTGAGTGCCAGGACAACCAGTGCCACACAGTGGGACGTTGTCTCAAAAGAAGAAAAAATAAAAATAAGTCCTTCATATGCTTGCCCTGACAACAAGTATTGCCATTCTTTCCCTAATGTTCCCCCTCCCAGCCCGTTGTAGCTACTTGCAAATTACATCTAGCTCAGAAAACATGGCTTTCCTTCCTTTTATCCATCTTCTTCCAGGCAGCTGCCAGGATCTACAACTGGCCTGTTGTTTTTCTCTAAAAGTCTAATAAAATGGGCTTTATGTTTCCTTCTGAGTCAGTTTTTAAGTTCCATTACCAATGAAACTAAAGAACCACCCCCCCACACACACACACACACACATACCAAAAAAGGCCGGTCAGAGCAGGACTGAGGACTTAATCCCAGGTTACAGTGAAATGAGTGTGGAAAAGGAGGATTAAAAAAATAATAACAGGTGTGGGCCACAATGTACTGTGCAATTGTTTTTCAAGGCAGACTCAAAGCAGGGAGTAAGAAATTTGGGAAGCTGATCGGTGCCCGGTTTCCACATGCGCCCATCTGAGCAAACACAGCACTAGCTGTGAAACAAAACATGGCCAAACAAGAACGGGCAGGTCAGGAGGCCCAGGGACACAGTGGCCTTCACATTCTTTTAAATGCAACTCAGCTTTCCCAAATAATAAGTCATCCCTAACCTTGGCCCAAGACAACACTCCCCATATGAGGCCTTTCCAAGGAGGACAGCCACAGGGCTGGAGGTCAGTCTCTTTTCTTCATGTACTGGCCAAAATCAAACAAAAAAATCCCACAAGCAAGCAAGGACACTTGACCTTGGCAGGTGCTAGCTCACAGGGCTGTTGTTATGAGAGCTGGATGGGGCAGTTACACAGAATGGAGACCCACAGGTAAAATGAGTCACTTTCCTCTGGGTGCCCATATTGCTCATGGCTGGGACTGAGAAATGCCCGGGGGACAAGCAGCAGCTGGCAGCCCAAAGGGCCCAAGTGTGAAAATGTTCAAGATAATGAGGCACTGTGCACATGAGCCTCAGCAACATTCCTGCAGGGTACAGAGAATAAAAGTGCAGTGACGGGGACACACACACACACACACACACACACACACACACACACAAGAGAGACACCCAAGCGCCTGAAGCTTCAATAAAGGAAACCCTTAACCAATGCAAACGGAGAAGGAGGAAGTACTAAGATGAACACGATCCATTATTGCAGTCCTTCCTAGGTCTTAGAATGGTGAGTTTGGAAAAAGCTAATTTCTAATGTCTGCCCTTTCTTTGGATTGCTGTTTGCTAAAGATGTGCTCCCAACAGCTCTCCCAGGGAACCAGGACTATTGCAGGAAAACATCTTAGCCTCCTCGGTCCTCAACTAAAGAACTGCCTATTTACCCACCAATGCTTGTGGATATATACCCAAGGATATACATACATACATACATGCATACATGCATGCAAACATACATACCTCTCCCTAACCCATGGCTGTAAAGTCACATGACAAAGAGGATAAGCCCTGGAAACCTCATTTAAATTAGGTCTTCCTCAAGTGACTGGTGGCTTAGACTCCAGAGAACAATCTGTTTTAAAGCAGCGGTAGTTCTTGAAAAGAGAAGTTTCCCAAATACGAGGGCTATGGAAGGCATTGTGATGCTGCTGCTTTGTTTTGTTCTATTTGCTGATACAGAAGGGAAGTAAAGGCATCAGGAGTCTGATCCCCTCCCAGCACCCTTCCCATCACACTGTGCTTCCCTTTTAGCTAAGATACTGGTCTGCTTTAAAACCTGCTTTCCCTGTGTCTGGGTATGTATGTAGCTCAGCGGTAAAGTACTTGTCCAGTGTGCATAAGGCCTGGGGTTCTGTCTCCAAGCTTGGCAAAAAGAATAAAATTAAAAAGTAAAACCAAAAAACCTGCCTTACCCCAAGCCCTCTGAGTGGTTCACTCTCCACGAACAATTACCTCAATCAAAAGACATTAAGAAAAAAGTACAAATAA